TCACAATTGCACACGGCTGGGGTGGCCTTATAATCATGGTAGAAGGCAAAGGCACGTCTTACATGGTAGCAGAAAAGCCAGAATGAGAGCAAAGAAAAAGGGGTTTCCACTTATAAAGCCATCAGATCTCGTGAGACTTACTCACCAACATAAGAACAGTGTAGGGGAAACCACCCCTATGATAGAATTATCTCCCATGCAGTCCCTCCCACAACACATGGAAATTATGGGAGCTACGAATTCAAGAAGAGATTCGGGTGGGGACACAGCCAAACCATATCAATTGCTTTTTTAAAAAAGAGGTTGTCTACTGAGAGAAAGGGCTGGGAGAGTGCATATTTGTGACTCTTTTGGTATTTCACCTCCAGTGTCCACTTCACTTAGGTTAGAAAATCATTATTTTATGCATTGTAAGTCTTAGCACAATGAATGCCTGGTATGTAGTAAGCACTCAGTAATTACTTGTAAACTAAAGCTTTAAGATATTTTAATAGAAAAATAAAAACTCTGTTAACTAGTAATTAACTAAAAATATAGATTCCTGGTCAATGTAGGTACAATAACAGGAAAAATTAAACTGCTTTTTCTATTCTCACATTCAACACAGAGCACTTTCATGTGCAGACATGTGGGCTTGCTTTTGCTTTCCCACACAGCAGTTCTACAGTGGTCACCAACTGGGTCCTACAATTTAACTCAATTCTGACACTCCTACCTGGAAATAGCATCAGATCCCACAGGTGAAGGGCTTGGCCCCACAAAACTTCCCCCAACTTCAGACATTGACTGAAAGTCGTAGGCTACCTACAACTGCTGCTTGATTTGACTACAAATTGGAGCTTTCCGTAACCCTCTTCTCTGGTTTGATTAATTTGCTAGAGCAGCTCACAGAACTCAGAGAAACACTTGTTTTTACTGGTTTATTATATTTATAAAGGATATTATAAAGAATACAGATGAATAGCCAGCCAGATAAAGAGGTGCCGCATAGGGCAAGGTCTGTGGGAAGGGGCATAGGGCTTCCAAGCCCTTTCCAGGCACATCACCTTTCCAGAACCTCCCCATGTCTAGCAACCCAGAAGCTCCCATAGTTTATGGATTTTTTTTTTTTTAGATGAAGGTTTGCTCTGTTATCCAGGCTGGAGTGCAGTGGGATGATCTCAGCTCACTGCAACCTCTGCCTCACAGATTTAAGCAATTCTCCTGCCTTAGCCTCATGAGTAGCTGGAATTACAGGCACACGCCACCACGCCCAGCTAATTTTTGTATTTTTAGTAGAGATGGGGTTTCACCATGTTGGCCAGGCTGGTCTTGAACTCCTGACCTCGTGATCCACCCACCTCGGCCTCCCAAAGTGCTGGGATTACAGGCTTGAGCCACCATACCCAGCCCAGTTTAGGGATTTTTATAGAAGCTTAATCCTGCAGGCATGGTTGATTATTAACTCAATCTTCAGCTCCTCTCCCCTTCCTGGAGGATGAGGGGTGTGATTGAAAGTTCCAAGCATCTAATCATGGCTTGGTTTTTCTGGTGACCAGAACCCATTCAGAGCCCTCCAAAAGTCACCTTATTAGAGCAAAAGACACTTCTGTCAAACAGGAAATTCCAGGGGATAAAGAGCTCTGTGAAGGTTGGGGGTGTTGTGGGGGCGGCAGAGAACAAATATATATTTCTTATTATAAATCACAACCTCATAGCAGATGTTTTCCTTCTTGTAGCATGTGTCCAAGAAACAACAATAAAGTTGTGGTAGTTGTACTGAGGTATAATCATGAGAAAACTAGTTAGCACGTCAGTATCGTTCTTATAAAAGAAATGAAATGAATGCCCTTTATGAAGGATCTGATTCACAAGCACAGTGCCATTAAGAAGATAAAGTGGTTGATGACTATTAATGTGAAAATGACCACCATTTGAATGTTCCTGCTGCCACATTCTTAGAGAATTTGGGGATGGGTAAATGTGCGTGTGCACACACATGTGCACACACACACACAAGTATAAATATATATGGCCAGTCCATATATTTACTGTAAAACAATCTTAAATTCCAAGTAGGATTGCTATGAACAAACTTCATTAAAAATAGTATTTAGAGATCAAATTGTTTTACTCCTCCTCACTAACATTATAATTAACTTTTCTCTCATGGACTTTGAGAAAAAAAAAAAGATGATGACAAACAGCAAGAGACAGCTAATGGCCTTCATATCCCCCATTAAATTTTGGCTTATACTAAAGCACCCAAGGACAAGCATCAGCAGTAAATCAGATAACCTACATTTCAGAATCAAAATTGCCACATTGCATCCTTTCTGAAATCAGAGGAGAAATTTTAGATTGTTATTTGCTCAAACCTATTTGCATTCCCTGGGCACATACCCAGTGGCAGGACTTCACCGAGAGGCCTTCTGAAGCCATCCTGAGACATCCACCCTGCAGGTTAGCCACACTTGTAAGCTCAAGAACTGTATGAGTGGGTTTTTCCCTTTTAATTGGTACTTATCGTTGCCCTCAAGAAAGAAAGATGTTTTCAAATACTCTGTGTAGCAACAAAAAAGAAAAAAAAACTAAAATTTTTTGTTCCACTTAGCCAGCCATAAGCTTTCCATTAATTCTCAGTCATAAATAAATAGAATTGACAGACACATTAAAGATGGAAACAATAAAAATAGTCAGGAAGTACAGAAAAAAAAGATTGCCATGATATTCTGTCTCGTTTTGCCAAAAAGGTATTAAAGTGCCAATGATATAAAAATAGGCTTGAACAATTTTTTCTAAAGGACAGAGCGGGGGTGGGGTAGCTACTCCCAGAATATATAAGACGGGTGTCCTAAAGGTTTCATTGATTAGTTGATAAGTTTGCCGGTGAATGATTAGTCAATTAGTCAGAAAGGTTTGAATTAGTTACTAGAGCTCTGCCTCCCATGAATAAATGTGAGGAGTATTCTCTCTCCCACCCTCTGTGACAGATGATATCTGTTTTCTCCTGTGAGTTTGAATTTAAGAGCCACTGAAGCTCAGCAACAGTATATTCTGGCTCAAATGAGCTGAAAATTGCATTCAATTTGAATTTCAAAAATGGAGGGGAGGAAGGGGGAAAAAAAACCTCAGCACCCATCAAGTCTCTACACTCTTCAACTACTTCCTGCTGCTGAGCTGCATTCCGCCAGGCTGGGGACCTGAAACCCAGGATGTGTTGCAGGGGAAAGAGCATCGCTGGATTCTTGCCCAGTCTGAGTTTAAAAATAAACTTTTTATACTCAGGATCAAAGCAAACCTCACTCTTACACACATGCATAATGCAGAATGTGACCCGCCAAAGAAATAGATTTACCTTTTCCAAACTGAAATTGGCCTGCTTTATTATTTTATTTTCTTTACATACTCTAGGAGGTGATAAAGGTAAAGGTGTTTTTCTTGAGAAACTCTGGAAAAGCAAATTCCTTTCTAAATAATTCTTTTCAGCTCACTTAAGACCCTCCTTCCTTGTGGCTGGATGTCCCACCTTCACCTGCCTCAGGTTACAAAGCAGATGTGTTCTTGAAAAGTTGAGCATATGGCTATTGATTTTTCAAATCAAATCATACTTTAAATGCTCTAAGAGAGTTGGTTATTTAAAAGAATCTTGTGATAAATTATATTTTAAAGCCAAGCTATTTTTAGTGTACAAATCATTGTCCCTTCCTGCAATGGCATAGTAAGCACAAATTTGAAGCATATCCGAGTTTTCTGAAAGCAGGGCACACCTGTAGTCCATAAGAAGTAGATGTAAGTATCACCAATATTTAAAATTAAACTAATGTTACGCAAAACAACAGATGATATCCCAAAATCATGTAACTGAACGATCTGGGGCCAGAACTCCACTTCATGATAGTTCGAGCTGAAGGAGCAGAGAGAATGCCAAATTCATTCCAACGGACATCAAACATGAAAACATATTCTCCTGCTGACTAAATTATTCTAAATTTGCAAATTAAGCAACCTGGGTGCCATGAAAAAGGTAATTCAACTTCCAAAGTGCCATTTTCCTCACTGAAGCAGGAATCTGCTGAACGCTGGTCAAAAATAGGCCTCATTCCAGAGGGTTCAGTAGCCAGCACCATTGAAAGGCATCATCTGCAGTGAGTGCACATGGATTCCTGCACACCTGCTCTGTGCTGGCCTCTGCTGCAGAAACTCAGAGCAACTAATAAACCAGAGATCCTGCCTTAGAGGAGGCCGTGGCTCTTCTTCCTTCCTGAGTTGCAAAACGGCGAGAGAGTATGGTGAATGCCCACCCGCCACCAAAAGAACCCTTCCATGCTGTGATCCTTGTACGACAGTCATGACAACTACAACAGGGTTCCTGGATCCAAGTGAAGCACCTGGGTCTCGGAGATTACTTGACTAACTGATGGTAACCTGGGAATGTTAGTAGTATATAGCTGCCCTTCAAAAACAGAGTGAAGTAGACAGATACCCCTGGAAAAATGAATGGGTATTCAATTGGAATCTAATGGATACCAAAACCTTTCAGTAAGCTCACAGAAGGTGGAATCAGAAAGAGAAGGATCCTATCTTAAACACAGGACAGGACATAAAGAAGAGTAACGTTTTACTTCCTAGGCATCAGTGAAAGACAAGAATTAAGAAATAGTCTGACTTTGACAACCGCAGCTTACTGGTCAATATAGTGAATCAATAGAAACAAGGGCAAAACCTTTCCAAAGCACCCACATGATCACTGCAACACACTCAGTTAAGTCCAATCTCCCAGAATATCCTACTCACACACACAAAATAACACTTTAAAAGCATTAAAAACGCTGTTTTTACATTTTAAAAGGCAGAATGCGGAAAACATTTTTCCTTACTATGAAATACTTGCCAGCCCCACAATAGTAGTCAAAGAGGTCAAGGGGCCACTTAACCCTCTAATGTATATCACGTGGCATCACGTTATGTAGATTTTAAAAGAACATTAATATCTCCTAATCTTGTAGGGAGCAGCTTACCTTTCAAACTGCGACAATGTTAGCGTAGGATTTTTTCCTTACATCTTCATAATTTAATATTGTTTCATTGATGAACCAGTAAATTGTCAGCTCTATTCATTTATGTGACGTGAGCAAGGATCCAACCCAAAAAAGGAAAAAAAAAAAAAAAAAGTAAGGTCAATTTTCTTGGCCGCTGCATTTAATAAAATCTCCCAGGCAATAGAGTTAAGCACACATTAATAGCTATGACTTAGTATGCTCTGCCTTTAGCAAGTCTTTGATTTTCCTATACATATACTCCGGGCTGCATTCACACTCCAACGAAGGTACAGTCCTCATTTCTTATTTTAAGATTTCTTCCTTCTCAGCTTTATCAGATTTATTAATCTCCTGCTACTCTCTTATTTATAGCAAATGCTCTGGTTAGGGTTTCAAAACATTTTCCATTATAACACCCATATATAACTTACAGAAAAAAAATTCTTCCAAGACCAAGGGACATTCTACTGATTTCGTATTAGCCTCAAAATAGATGCATTTCTCCAAATATGAAGGCTGTGTGTCCTATTTCTCTGATATTCAGGAAAAAACACAAGAGGGCAGGTAGAGAAGCCCAACTTTTCTAAGTGGAAAAACTTAAAGCTTCTATTTTAAGAAAACTCCACAGTGGGTTTTCACTAAATATACACTAATGATGTTTTAGGTAGATGTCTCTTAAATGAAGCTACTGGGTTGAACCTCATGAAGTTGCTTTTACTCTAATTGACCTACAAAAATGGCAATTCCATATGATTTACCTTAATACTTCTCATATCTTTACTCATATATAAAAATATTGTTCAGAGCAACAAAGCAATCCCCTAGATATCCGGGGAAATTCTGTCCTCAACTTGCAGCTCAGCGGGTGAGAAGGGAGAAGGTTATGACCAACAGGAGGCTGGAATGCCCTTGACAATTTGTCTGGTGCACGCTCTGGTAGAATTTATTAAGTAAAAGATGTGGAGAAAATAATTATTCAGGTGGCACCGGGCCACTTTGCCTCACATCCCTTTAGGCATAAATGTGGTAACTGTAGACTTTGGGGAGTGAACACTTCAAAGAGATGCCTGTTTTTCATTAGAAGACCCTCATTGGGACCTCTAAATCTACCCACCAAAGACACCCTTCAGACTCATAGCTTTCCCGCTCTCTTTCAAGAATGAAGTTAAAAGTAAAATGCTTGACAAATAAACTAGATTGAGGTTTCAATCCCAACTTGCCCCTGCACCCAGCAACTGGAATCGTACGTTGGTAGTTTGCTATAATGCTAAAGAGAAACCGAATACTAGAAAACAAAGGGATCATTTTAAAAATAATTTCTTGCATAAAGTGAGCTGTAGATCAACTAAGACAAGAGACTAAGGAGGTTTTTGGTGCAGGTGGGAATTTGACAGGGTCCAGGATCAAGAAAGGAGGGTGCTTTACAGAAAGAAATAGAATGGTGCTTAGAGCATACTCATGAGAGAGACTGAAGGTAAGACGACTCGAATGTGAGAATCCAACCCTATTTATTTTCTAGGATTGTGAACCTAAGAGACTGTCAAAAAGCTGTAGTTTATGTAAGTATAAAGAAACACTATGAAAGAACCCACCCAAAAGACACTAGAGGGTAAGATGCCTAAGAAGACCTAACTTAGATTGTTACTTTTTTCAAAAAGAAAGCACAGGACTCAGGAGGTATAAAAACAGGACTTGAATCAAGAAAACTCCTTCAGGTGCTGATTTCAACAGTTATGTGGCTGCTTTCTGTGTAATATTGCTAATGCTCACAGACACTGTGGCCGTAGATTTCAAGTTAACATTTAAACTCTCCAACTCGTCATACTCCATCTCTGAAATCGCTGAAAATTTGAAATAATGTTAATATTATAACAATAATTTTAGGAACCAGTCTGCTTTTGATCCCACACAAACAGCTATCTCTAACCAGAGGCATTCAACTCAGGAGGTTCAGAGTTTGTAGGCAAGAAAAGATGGTGGGGCATTGGAAGGATGTGTGGAATCAGTCCCTGTTACCTCTATCATTTCCTCTTATTACAAAATGCAGTATACATTTCCCTAGACAAATCTTGTTTTAAATGGTGACAACCAATCCAGGTGAAAGATTTCTTATTCAATACTATTGGTAATTTACTAAGAATAGGGAGGAAAAATGGTTGTAAACGGCCTTTAGAAGTGCAGTAATAATATGATAGAGAAGCTTTTTGTGGGTAACCCAGGAAATGCACTACAAATATTTCCGCAAATATTCTAAATTCCAAACAACCAGTTTTATTTTATTCTCAGTTTTAGATTCAGGGGTGCATGTGCAGGTTTCTTACACGAGTGTGTTGCGTGATGCTGAGATTTGGGTTTCTACCTATCCAGTCACCCAAACAGTGAACGCAGTACCTGACAGGAAGTTTTTCAGCCCTTGATCTTGTTTCTCCCTCCCCTCTTTTGGAGTACTAGTGTCTATTGCTCTCCTCTTTGTCTGTGTCTATGCAATGTTTAGCTCTCACCTATAAATAAGAACATGTAATATTTGGTTTTGTGTTTCTGTGTCAATTCACTTATGATAATGGCCTCCAGCTGCATCCACATTGCTGCAAAGGACATGGTTTCATTCTTTTTATGGCTGCATAGTATTCCACACTCTATATGTACCACATTTCTTTATCCAATTCACAACTGATGTGCAGCTAGGTTGATTCCATGTCTTTGCTATTGTGAATAGTGCTGTGGTATACATTTGAGGACAGGTATCTTTTTGGTAGAATAATTTCTTTTCCTTTGGGTATATATCCAGTAATGGGATTGCTAGGTTGAATGGTAGTTCTGTTTTTAGTTATTTGAGAAATCTCCAAACTGTTTTTTATGGAAGCTGAACTAATTTACATTCCCACAAATAGTTAGAAATGTTCCCTTTTCTCTACAACCTCAAAACATTTGTTGTTTTTTCACTTTTTAATAATAGTCACTCTTACTGGTGTAAGATGGTATCTCACTGAGGTTTTGACTTGCATTTCTCTGATGATTAGTGTGTGGAGCATTTTTTCATATGTTTCTTGGCCACTTATATGTCTTCTTTTGAGACATATCTGTTTACATCCTTAGCCCGGTTTTAAACTTTTTTTTTTCTTGTTAAATTGTTCAGGTTTCTTGTAGATTCTGGACATCAGTTCTTTGCAGGATGCATAGTTTACAAATATTTTCTGCCATTCTTTAGGTTGGGTTGTCTTTCTTTTGATAGTTTATTTTGCTGTGCAGGAGCTCTTTAGTTTAATTAGGTCCCAGTTGTCAATTTTTGCTTCTGAACAACCAGTTTTAAAATGTAGACTGAGACAGAACTCACAACTGTTTTGTAAGCTGATGCTTGCCTATCCTATACCCAACTAATTACTACAATTGGGCATATAAACTTACTACAAAAAAAAATTCCAGTATTAGGAACTATCAGGTGCAGTTGCCTGGATTCAACATTGCATTATTCTTAGGGGCACCTTTCGCATGTATTACAACGTGAACGGTCTGCACCACCATGGATGTGTAGTATGGGATAGGGAGAGAAAGTCTCTGGATTCCCTTTTCTAGCCCAGAGAATATTTTTAAAACAAATATAGATAACTAAATTACCAGTGTCCCTTCACTCACAAAGTCATTGACCCCCAAGGCAATAGGACTTACACCATCCCTACCATCACCAGCAGCTGCCTCTGCATTGTTGCAGGAAACTTCTTAGAAGGGGAATGACCTCTCCAAATACAGAGGAAGAAAGATCTGTTCTTCAGGTCTCAAACGGGTTCTAAGAATAGATATTCCAATTACAGAAGAAGCCACTTAGTACATGATATTCCAGAAACATGGTAGCATTACAGTGGAACCTGACCATTCACCCAGCTGTCCTTGGGGAAAAACACATTTTGAATTCCAAAACCTTAGGAATATATCTTATTGGGAGGGTTTACCTGTAATCTACGTACTACACGCAGATACAAAAGCCTGATCCGCATATACTCTCAAAAAGTGAATGGATAGCAGAAATAAAGATTTTTAAAAGGGGAAACACACATAGTTCCTTTAATTATTCTGAGTATAATCTTAGTGTACAGCCAGGAGAAGATAAACAGAAGAAATTCCTCAGCTTTCTAGATCCCTTACTATATGTTATTCATATAGTAAGGGATCTAAATAGGTAGTGGGTCTAAATAGGTTTGATTATTTGAAGTTTTTTTTTTTTTTTCAGGATTTCGATGAAGGCAATCAGGCAGGATTATCTTGGGGAGGCACAGGATATACAAGCAAACTACTGGATGCTGGGGAGATGTGGGACAAAGACCACTTCAGCTCCCCCCGGCAGGAAACTTGCTCTATTAAGAGATAAAATGTCATGATATAATCTATATAATGCATCTTTTAAAACGAAAAGTGCCTCAAAGATTGTGAAATAGTTTTGAGAGTGGAAAATAATCCATCAATTTAAATATAGCTTTTTCAGTGATGGGTACCATATAAGGCTCCCCCCAGTTAAATTGAGGTCAAACTTAGAATTCCAGATTTAGATCTCCCAATATTTGCCACTCTATATTTAGTCTTCACAAATTCAATAATATTGGCTACTTTCTGATGCAAACGCTGATGGAGGAAGCTTTTTTGTGGGGACAAAATATTTTTAAAATAAGAGATTTTTTTATTAAGTTGGCCAAGATCCTTGATTCTAGCATTTTGCCAATTATTTTCTTCCACTTTAACCCTGGACACATTAAAAGTTAGTAAGGAAAAGAGAAGGGAATGAAATAAGAGAATAAGACATAAATGAAAGACTAAGAGAAAAGAAAAATGATGGGAGAAAAAAAGGGAAGGTTAATAAAGAAAGAGCACATGGCCTCCATTCACTCAAACTCAGAATACCATTAATACACACAATGTCAAATGCAGTACGAGTTCTTCTAGGTTTATCATCCCCTTCCCTGGAGAATGCAAGACGGCTATTGTTGGTGAAGATCTTGGAGATAATCCACCCCATTTTACCAGTAAGGAAAGGGAAGCCCTATAAGGTCAAGTGACTCACAAAGTAATGACTAGAAGCCAG